GGAACTTAAATCATGGTCTTAACTAAATCATCGTCAGAAGAACTAAATCATATCTACAAATCATCGTCTAGAAGGAACAAATCATGGTTTAACTAAACCATCGTCTAGAAGTAATATTGATCTAACAAACCATCGTCTAGAAGGAACTAAATGTGGTCTTAACTAAATCATGGTCTTCAACACCCAAACAAAGGTGACGTGTAAGGTAACAGCGACTCTCACCATCACAACAACAATAGTTTGATGAACACTGCTGGTATATCCTGGTTTGTTGGAGGTAAGGGAAGAACACACGCACTCTCTCTACCAGCATAACTCACACACAGGCTCTGAGGTGAAGAAATCTCCTTAACAAGACTTCAGTGGTGGTAGTGGTGCCTCTACCAGGTTCTCCACATGAGAGCATAGTGGCGTCAACTAACCACTCACCTATACAGTCCCTCACTCCTCCACCATAACAGTCCCTCACCTCCACCATAACAGTCCCCTCACTCCTCCACCATAACAGTCCCTCACCCTCCACCATAACATCCCTCACTCCTCCACCATAACAGTCCTCACCCTCCCACCATAACAGTCCCTCACCCTCCACCATAACAGTCCCCTCACCCTCCACCATAACAGTCCCTCACCCTCCACCATGACAGTTCCTCACCCCCTCCAGCCTCATAACAGTCCTCACCTCCACCATAACAGTCCCCTCACCTCCACCATAACAGTCCCTCACCCTCCACCATGACAGTTCCTCACCTCCACCATAACAGTCCTCACCTCCACCATAACAGTCCCTCACCCTCCACCATAACAGTCCCTCACCTCCACCATAACAGTCCCTCACCTCCACCATAACAGTCCCTCACCCTCCACCATAACAGTCCCCTACCTCCACCATAACAGTCCCTCACCCTCCACCATAACAGTCCCTCACCTCCACCATAACAGTCCCCTCACCTCCACCATAACAGTCCTCACTCCTCCACCATAACAGTCTCTCACCCTCCACCATAACAGTCCCTCACCTCAACCATAACAGTCCTCACCCTCCACCATAACAGTCCTCACCTCCACACCATAACAGTCCCTCACCCTCCACCATGATACAGTTCCTCACCCCCTCCACCATAACACTCTCACCCTCCACCATAACACTCTCACCCCTCCACCATAACAGTCCCTCACCCCTCCACCATAACAGTCCCTCACCCCTCCACCATAACAGTCCCTCACCCCTCCACCATAACAGTCCCTCACCCCTCCACCATAAAACTGTGTGTGTGTCCTTGTAGGGCCGCACACCGTAAACCTAACCTTCACACTCCCTCACGAGCGTCAACCCGCGACAAATATCTCACGGAAGCTGACACCTACGGCTGACACCCACAGCTGACACCCACAGCTGACACGTAATAAACCACTACATAACAGCCTCAATACTCAGATAAACACTCCACAGCACTAATACATAACCTAACCTAACCACAAATATAACTTAAGATTTAGGTATAAAGAACAGTTACAGTAATTACTATAACTTGGTGGCTGTACTTTACCCTTGATATAAAAGTCTGTAACCTTTAATTAGTACAGCTCATAAGGGACATTAACTTGTAGTCATGATATTGTCCTTAACTAACGCCTGTCACACACCTCTGATATGTTACTGTCCAGAGTGTTATCCCAGTCCCACAACAAACACTACTACCACCATAACCACCACCACAACCATCACCACAACACACTATCACCACTACGACCACAACCACTACCACCACCAACACACGAGTACCACAACAACCATTAACAGTACACTAGTACCATCACCACAACAACAACCATCAACACACCACCATTCCACTCTACCTTCACATGGTTGAGAGACCAGCCACTATCTTGGCATATCGGGGCATCATTTCTTAATGGTTGCCAAGGTAAAGTTTCCTCCTAACTGATGATGTGAAAACGAATCTAACACTGTACCATGGTGGTACAGGGGGTCCAGCACTGTACCACCAAGGTACAGGGGGTCCAGCACTGTACCACCAAGGTACAGGGGGTCCAGCACTGTACCACCAAGGTACAGGGGGTCCAGCACTGTACCACCAAGGTACAGGGGTCCAGCACTGTACCACCAAGGCACGGGGGTCCAGCACTGTACACACAAGGCCACCCAGCACTGTACCACCAAGGCAGGGGTCAGCACTGTGTAGGGGTCCAGCAGTACCACCAAGGAGGGTCCAGCACTGTACCACCAAGGTACAGGGGTCCAGCACTGTACCACCAAGGTACGGGGTCCAGCACTGTACCACCAGGTACAGGGGTCCAGCACTGTACCACCAAGGTACAGGGGGTCCAGCACTGTACCATGGTGGTACAGGGGGTCCAGCACTGTACCACCAAGGTACAGGGGGTCCAGCACTGTACCACCAAGGTACAGGGGGTCCAGCACTGTACCACCAAGGTACAGGGGGTCCAGCACTGTACCACCAAGGTACAGGGGGTCCAGCACTGTACCACCAAGGTACAGGGGGTCCAGCACTGTGCCACCAAGGTACAGGGGGTCCAGCACTGTACCACCAAGGTACAGGGGGTCCAGCACTGTACCACCAAGGTACAGGGGGTCCAGCACTGTACCACCAAGGTACAGGGGGTCCAGCACTGTACCACCAAGGTACAGGGGTCCAGCACTGTACCGCCAAGGTGGTATAGAAGGTCCAGATCTGGGGGTAATCGTTTCCTTCTGTGAAAGAATGAATAGTGGGTATTGTTTGTTTTTCTTAGGATTAAGGTCAGTTTATTGCGTGTTACCCAGGTCTTGGTGGTGCCAGTTCTCATTAAGAAATGGAGGCCTGAGTTATTGGCATAAAGATTACTATCGTCTGCAAATAAATTGTATTTGACGAGTGGGCTGGAGTGGACTGTATCGTTTATGTACAATAAGAACAGTGTGGGACCGAGAATGGAATCTTGGGGGACGCCATACTAAATAGGTGAGGAGTCAGACTAATGATTATTATAACAGACATACTGCTTCCTGTTGGACAGATATGAGGTAAACCAATTGTGGGACAGGCCCCTAACGCCGTAATGTTCAAGCTTTGAAAGGAGGATGGTATGGTCGACAGTATCAAAGGCTTTAGAGAGGTCCAAGAATATACCGACTGTGAACTGACTGTCATCAAAGGAATTTAAGATGTCATTAGTAAAGGATAGCAGAGCACTCTCAGTCGACCTTCTAGCTCTAAATCCAAACTGGGAGTCTGTAAAGATGCTATTGGCATTGCAGAAGGCATTTAGTCTATTACATGCTAGCTTCTCCAGTATCTTACTCAAGGCTGGGAGGACTGACATGGGGCGGTAATTCTTGAAGAGACCTTTGTCCCCAGATTATTTTATATGCTGGGTGAACTTTAGCAATTTTCAGTTTATCCGGAAAGACTCCACTAGTGAAGGAGGAGTTACAAATGTGTAGGAGAACAGGTAGTAATAAGTGGGCTACTTTCTTAATGATGCTCATTGGTATATTGTCTTCACCTGCTGCTGCATCTTTGGACATTTTTATGATGGCCAGTAATTCATCTGCTGTGACAGGGGATAAGAACAGCTCATTATGCTGTTTGTTTTGTAGGTGGGCTTTAAATTCCTCATGGTAATCAGGGATGTTTTCTGCAAGATTTTTGTCAACATTGATAAAATAATCATTGAAGTGGTTGGCAATGAGGGAGGGTTCCACTACAACTGTATCATATAACATAAAAGCTGAGTAGGGGGGGGGGGGCGAACTCTGAGTGTTCCTGTTCTGAATAGAATTGATGACATTGCAGGTTTTCTTACTGTCGCCTGATGCTGACTGGAGCTTATTTGTATAGTAGTTACATCTGGCATTTCTAACTGCTTGAGTTACTCTATTTCTGATACTTAGGTAAGACGGCATCGAAAGTTATGGATCTTTTTGCAAATTTCCTCTAAAGTTTGTGTTTTCTTTTATCATTGCCTTGATTTCAGTTGTAATATAGAGTTTGGAGATGGACACAGTTTTCACTAACTTAGTCTTGAGCGGGAAGTATTTATCAAAGCAAGCATTGAAGATGCAAGAGAAGTTGCAGCAGTTCACGTTAGGGTTGTCGGAGGCATAGACAAGATCCCAGTTAGCATTCATTAGGTTGTTTTCAAAAAGGAGCATGTTGTCGGTGCCGTAGTCTCTGTATTGTACTGAGACTTTATTAGACCTTTCAGATCTTGTGGCTGTCGCTATAAGAACAGCACCATCCCAACTATTGTAAAAATCATCAACAACTTCTTTACAGTCTCACTTTTGTAATGTAACTGTGCTGAAATTCGTTGTTAATTAACGCTGTCCCGTGTGTTTTGGGTCAATGTTCCACAAACACCGGTAAACGAGCCAGGGTATACGAAATAATCATCCAACACACTGACCAGATCAGGTAGGGTTACGGTAGGTAGGCTCCAAACTTTTATTGTCACCAGTATATCCTCCATGAAAAACTGCTTTATAAAATGTTTTTCAGGCCTAAATAATTTGTTTATTTTTTGTAGAAGAATCCACTTTTATTTTCAGTTAATGCTGCTGTATTTTTTTAATAAACCGTAAATTATTATTATTTCTTATTATCACACAGACTCAAGTCAAACACATGCATAAAAGATATAAACTGTAAATTACACAAGACACCCATTCAATAATGTTTAAAGAAAACTCTACCATTAGAGAGATGCGCTTCCCTCCTAGCACTGACTCAACTAAACTTATACAGTACTAACACTGACTCAACTAAACTTATACAGTACTAACACTGACTCAACTAAACTAATACAGTACTAACACTGACTCAACTAAGCTTAAACAGTACTCACCCAACACTGACTCAACTAAACTTAAACAGTACTCACACAACACTGACTCAACTAAACTTAAACAGTACTAACACTGACTCAACTAAGCTTAAGCAGCACTCACTCAACTAAACTTACACGGTACTCACCCTTCTAGTTTCAATGTCAAGATTTAGTTTGCGTAGTTTCTCTTTCTTGAGTGAGTCGGCCAGCACGGGCTCACACAGGAAGTACCGTGAGCTGCGGAGGCCGTCGTCCCTATGGAGATAAGAGGAGGTAAATGTTACTTTCTTGATGACAACTATCACATTTATTTTTCCTCAGAATTATCCTAGGATGTCCCATGAGCACTAAAGTACTTAATATGAGGAAAGAACTAGGTATACCCAGTGTTAAGGATAGAATAATTGAAGTCAACCTCATGATAGCCCTGAGGTTTCTGCGTGGTGATCCTGATAACATTGTTTCCTTAAAATTGCTAGAATGTATAAACCATGGGACTGGTGAGTCTAAATGGATCCAAACTACAGCTACACATATGAAGATGTTTGGACTAGACCACATGTACAAAGTTGAGACACAACAGCGCTTCCTGCCACCCTGGCGGACAGTTCCCTTCGATATCACAATACCGACATATCCGCCTAAAAAATTAATTATACAAAGCATTTATCTCCAACACACTGCCAAATTGAGAGCTCTTGAACACATACACACTTTACAGACTGATGATAATATCACACAGACCATCTACACTGATGGATCTCTAAACACTGCCTGTGGGAGGGCTGGAAGTGCTATTGTTGTGACTCAACCTGACGGTAATATAATTGAGAAAGGCGTTAGAATTAACAACTGGGCATCCACTCCACAAACTGAATTAGTTGCCATACTCACAGCTATTAAATTCATTGAAACCACTGTTACTGACAGTCTCATCATCACTGACTCTCTATCCTCACTACTTGCCCTTGACACCCTCGACTCAGGTTGTCACGCTCTTGTCTCTGAAGCCAGACACAAATATGCGTGCCTTGTTGACCGGGGTGTCAAGGTCAAACTGTTGTGGATCCCCTCTCACATAGGCCTCATAAAACATGACAGAGTTGATGCCCTCGCCAAACTCGCGTCTAACAAAGACGCCGTTGAATACAATTTGGGTCTGTCAAAAAGAACCCTTAAAACTGTAATTAGGAAAGAACTTATTGATGAGTTTGACGCAAGTAGACTAGTGTAAACAGGCACTAGTCGATCCATAGTTTACCATGATGAGATGTATCAAGTGAAACATGTATATGGAGCAAGTAACACGATCACTAGATTACAAGATGTTGTAACCGCTAGATTAAGGTTAGGATATAAGTACCTCTGGCAGTATGTTCTCAAGCAGATGTAAAGTAGACTAAATGTAAAGGTGTGTGGCCAGACATATGGCCACACACTTGAACACTATCGTCGACTGTGTGAAGATAGAACCTTTAGGGACAGGTCCAAGCACACTATGTGAAATGGCACAACACTTCATCTCTAATGGCAAGATAGCCGACATATTTTGGTTGTATACTTTTTTTGCACAATAACTATATCAGTTCTCACGTTCAGATTCAAATACAAATATGCTTGAATACTTCTCACGTAAATGTGAATAACAAAGTGTGGTCAGACATACTGCCTCACACGCCTGTACTCACGCATTTGTGAATAAGTTACCCCTTTATGTATAGAACTAAACAAATAATGTGAATGAAATACTGTATGTAACATTCAGTGCCATAATATCCTGACAACGGGGGTTAATTATTATGACCCGTTGTAAACTCTACTCTGTAATCCTTTTGCGCTACCGCTCACAGGATGAGTGTGGGGTGCACACAAAAGTAGCCACTGTAAGCGGCAAAATCAAATCACGTAAGACCATATGACACCGTCTAGCACAAGAGGTGTAACACTCACCTGAGCTGGTCGATCTCTCTCATGATATGTATGGGCGTGATGCTGGCCTGGTGGTACAGGGAGAGCAGTTCGGGGGGCAGGGAGGCGTGCGTGAAAGAGGTCCCGTGTCGGTCAGGGAAGAATGTTGATAGTGGTCTTGTCTCTCACTGAAGCTGCCCAGATCACTCTCGGCTGTAAACACAAAGATATACCCATTAATGTCTTGTCCGCTCAAAGCCGCCATCAGAACAAACACAATCTTTACCCCTGTAACACTGAACCACGGAGGATGGCCCTCCTGTACCCTGGCCCTCCCAGTCCCCTGGGCCGGACACTGACCACGGAGATGGCCCTCCCTGCCCTGGCCCTCCTGTCTGGGCCGGACACTGGACCACGGAGGATGGCCCTCCCATGCCTGCCCTCCTGTATCCCCGGGGCCGGACACTGACCACGGAGGATGGCCCTCCCGTACCCTGGCCCTCCTTGTATCCCTGGGCCGGACACTTTGAACCACGGAGGATGGCCCTCCTGTACCTGGGCCTCCCCTGTATCCCCGGGGCCGGACACTGACCACGAGATGGCCCTCCTGCCCTGGCCCTGACCCCTTGGGCCGGACACTGGACCACGGAGGATGGCCCTCCTTACCCCCCGGTCCGGACATGGACCCTGAGGATGGCCCTCCTGTATCCCCGGGGCCAGACACTGGACCACGGAGGATGGCCTCCCGTACCCTGGCCCTCTTGTCCCCCTGGGGCCGGACACTGAGACCACGGAGGATGGCCCTCCCTGTATCCCCGGGGCCGGACACTGAGCCACAGATGGCCTCTGTACCTGGCCCTCTTGTACCCCCTGGGCCGGACACTGGACCGGATGGCTCCTGTATCCCTGGGCAGGACACTGGACCACGGAGGATGGCCTCCTGTACCCTGGCCCTCTTGTGCCCCGGGCCGGACACTGGACCACGGAGGATGGCCCTCCTGTATCCCCCGGGGCCGGACACTGACCACGGAGGATGGCCCCTCTGTTGGCCCTCCTGTACCCCCGGGCCGGACACTGGACCACGGAGGATGGCCTCCTGTACCCTGGCCCTCCTGTACCCTGGCCCTCCTGTGCCCTGCCCTCCTGTACCCCCCAGGGGCCGGACACAGCAGTGCACTGTACAGTATATTTCAAGTTATGATAATCTTATTTAAAGCAGTTTTATAAGAGAATATTTCAAAATACAAGTTTAATATATTATTTCAGTGAAATGATATTAAAAGATGACATAATTAGTTACAAATAACCTTAGAAACATTAGTGTGTTTTTTTTATGTTTTAACAAACAAGGAGGAGCTGATTGATGTATATTTAACAGGTCGAGCTTTAAACGTAGACTGTGCCATCTGTGACCAAGTCTCACGTTGTTGATCTGACTTTCTGCCTCATTACAAAAAAATTGTAGGGTCTCAGTGTTTCTTTACTATGACGACACAACATACATATGTGTTTTGTATTGATCATTTTATTCTTTATTATTATTATTATTATTATTATTATTATTATTATTATTACCATCATCATCTTCGCCCTCAGGCCCTGGTGTGGGTTAGTGACCTGTCGTTGGGCTAATGGTGATGAATAAAAACTTTTGTATCAGGGCGGAGAACCAATAGGTCACATAGGCTGTACCGACGCAATACAATCGTTATTATAATTTGTACTTTTCATTATAATTTAAACTGTAATACGAGTTACTTGAATCGTTTAGTGGTAGTTGTGAAGTTTTTTTGACTACATATATCTTTTAATTTATATTTAGATGTAAACTTTGTGTGTAATATGCAGTGAAATTTGGTTTACTCTGTGGACAATAAGTAACATGTGTAAATGTCGTGAACTGTTTTTCTCTTGTCAGTTGTCCTTAGAGTCAGTCAAATAAATCTCACGCTTTTAGCCACCTGATATCCTTAGCTTGTGATTGGCCTATGGTATTTACATTTTGAGTCACATGAAAAAATAACTTTTAATATTGTCAACAAGATGTAGTGAGTCAGTCGAGTACAAGAGCACCAAGTAGTTTACTGTATACGGGGCCTGTACCTGTGACTCCAGAGCTCTCAACAACGACACACACACACAGTACAGTCAGTTACTCTGCCTTCAACGTAACAACTGCCTTTGTGTGTAGTGAAGATTCATCCTACCCCACATATGAAACAAGTTGACCAAAATCCCGATGAGAATTTTCAAGGGAGTTAAATTTGGACAGACAGGCAGATACCTCTTATACTTCTTACCAGTTTCTAACAGTAGGGTGAATTGGTAGTTTTCCACCATAGCCCCAAAGCTATCGTCACACAATATAGTTTCTACACTGCGTCACACCAACACTGTCCTGCTACTGTCAACACAGAGAAGCCACCAGTCTTAATAACCTGCCGGAACACCAGTTACAGCCACACCTGTTCTCCCTCACACACACAAGTGGAGGAGCACTCAGGTGGGGGTGGGTGTGGTGGGGTGACGACGAGGTGCTGCTGAGTGTGTTGAGTGTGTTGCATCCACCCCCACCACCCCACCCACACCCCTCCCTCCTGCACCTTCATAGTCTTCTTTAAGATCCTCCACACACCCTCCTTCCTCCCCCATCCTCCCACAGCACTAGCCAGCCCTGATACATGACTGACTTTATATTAGCACTGAGGCTCTTCCTCACCACTCACCTCCTCACCACACACCTCCTCACCACCCACCCTCCCCACACCCACCCCTCCTCACCACACCTTCCTCACCACTCACCTCCTCACCCTCTCCCTCCTCACCACTCACCTCCTCACCACTCTCTCCTCACCCTCGCCCTCCTCACCACTCACCTCCCTCACCACCCACCTCCTGTAACCTCCACCACCTGCCTCCTCTCCTACTTCTCCATCCTTCCCTCATGTGTTAATTTTGTTTCTCCTAAATTGGTGGTGTTTAGTAGAAACTAACTGGTGGTGTTAAGTGAAGGTATCTTAGTTACAGTAGAGTCTCAGTGTTAATTTTGTCTCCTAACTGGTGGTGTTATGAAGGTATCTAGTTAAGGTAGAGTCTCAGTGTTAATTTTGTCTCTCAACTGGTGGTGTTAAGTGAAGGTATCTAGTTTAAGGTAGAGTCTCAGTGTTAATTTTGTCTCCTAACAGGTGGTGTTTATGAAGGTATCTAGTTATGTTGCAGAGTCTCAGTGTGTTAATTTTGTTTCCTCTAACTCACAGGTGTTAAGTGAAGGTATCTAGTTAAGGTAGAGTCTCAGTGTTAATTTTGTTTCCTAACTGGTGGTGTTATGAAGGTATCTAGTTAAGGTAGAGTCTCAGTGTTAATTTTGTCTCCTAACTGGTGGTGTTAAGGAAGGTTTCTAGTTAAGGTAGAGTCTATGTTAATTTTGTCTCCTAACTGGTAAAAGTAAGTGAAGGTATCTAGTTAAGGCAGAGTCTCGGTGTTAATTTTGTCTACTAACTGGTGGTGTTAGCGAAGGCATTCCAGTTAGCGCAAATTTCAGTGTTAATTTTGTCTCCCAACTGGTGGTGCTATGAAGGTTTAGTTAAGGTAGAGTCTCAGTGTTAATTTGTCTCCCAATCCGGTGGTGTTATGACAGTTTTGCCAAGGTAGAGTCTTCAGTAAGTTAATTTTGTCTCCTAACAGTAAAGAGTGAAGGTATCTTGCTATGTAGAGTCTCTGTTAATTTTGTTCTCTAACTATTGGTAAGGGTGAAGTATTCAGTTAAGGTAGAGTCTCGGTGTTAATTTTGTCTCCCTAACTGGTGTGTTAAGTGAAGACCAGTTAAGGTAGAGTCTCAGTGTTAATTTGTCTCCCCAACTGGTGGTGTGTTAAGTGGAAGGTGTTCCACTCAAGGTAGAGTCTCAGTGTTAATTTGTCTCCCCAACTGGTGGTGCTTTAGTGAAGGCATCTAGTTAAGGTAGAGTCTCAGTGTTAATTTTGTCTCCCTAACTGGTGGTGTTAGTGAAAGCGCATTCCAGAAGTTAAGGTAGAGTCTCAAAGTGTTAATTTTGTTCCCCAACTGTGGTGCCGCTTAGCTGCGGCCTTAGTTAAGGTAGAGTCTCAGTGTTAATTTTTGTCTCCCCAACCTGGTAGTGTTAAGTGAAGGTATCTTGTTAAGGTCAAGTCTCAGTGTTAATTTTGTCTCCTAACTGGTGGTGTTAAGGAAGGTATTCCAGTTAAGGTAGAAACCAGTGCTAATTTTTGTTCCAACTGTGGTGTTAAGTGAAGGTATCTTGTTAAGGCTGTCTCAGTAATTTTGTCTCCTAACTGGTGGTGTTAAGTGAAGGTATCTAGTTGCAGAGTCTCACAGAATTAATTTTGTCTCCCTAACTGGTGTTAAGGGAAGGTATCTAGTTAAGGTAGAGTCTCAGTGTTAATTTTTGTTCCCTAACTGGGTGGTGTTAAGTGAAGGTATCTTGTTACATCAAGTCTCAGTGTTGAATGGTTCCCTAACTCAGGTGTTAAGGTGAAGGTATCTAGTTATGTAGAGTCTCAGTGCTAATTTGTCTCCTAACTGGTGGGTGTGTTATGAAGGTATCTTTGTTAAGGTCAAGTCTCAGTGTTAATTTTGTCTCCCAACTGGTGGTGTTAAGGAAGGTATTCTAGTTGGGTAGAGACTCAGAATTAATTTTATCTCTAACTGTTATGAAGGTATTCAGTTTAGGCAGAGTCTCTCAGGTAGCATTTTGTCTCCCCAACTGGTGGTGTTAAGTAAAGGTATTCAGTTAAGGTAGAGTCTCATTGTTAATTTTGTTCCTAACTGGTGGTGTTATGAAGTATCTTAGTTGCTGTAGAGTCTCAGTGTTAATTTTTGTCTCCCAACTGGTGGTGTGCTATGAAGGTAACTAGTGTTGTAAGTGAAATCCTTCAGCAGTTAATTTTGTCTCCAACGGGTGGTGTTAAGTGAAGGTATCTAGTTAAGGTAGAGTCCCAGTGTTAATTTTTGTCTCCCAACTGGTGGTGCTAAGTGAAGTATCTTAGTTACAAGGTGGTATTCAGAACTCAATTTCTGTCCCAAACTGGTGTTATGAAGGTATCACAGTTAAGGTGAGACTCCAGCAGTCAATTTGTCTCCCTAACTGGTGGTGTTATGAAGGTATCTAGCATGGAGTCTCAGCTAATTTTGTCTCCCCTAACTGGTGTTCAGTGAAGGTATCTAGTTACAGTCTCAGTGTTAATTTTGTCTCCAACTGGTGGTGTGTTATGAAGGTTTCTGTGTTAAGTGTAGACTCAGAATTATTCTTTGTCTCCCAACCTGGTGCTAAGTGAAGGCATCTAGTTATGCAGGTCTCATGTTAATTTTGTCTCCTAACTGGTGTTAAGTGAAGGTATCTAGTTAAGGTAGAGTCTCAGTGTTAATTTTGTCTCCTAACTGGTGGTGTTAAGTGAAGGTATCTAGTTAAGGTAGAGTCTCAGTGTTAATTTTGTCTCCTAACTGGTGGTGTTAAATGAAGGTATCTAGTTAAGGTAGAGTCTCAGTGTTAATTTTGTCTCCTAACTGGAGGTGTTAAGTGAAGGTATCTAGTTAAGGTAGAGTCTCAGTGTTAATTTTGTCTCCTAACTGGTGTTAAGTGAAGGTATCTAGTTAAGGTAGAGTCTCAGTGTTAATTTTGTCTCCTAACTGGTGTTAATTGAAGGTATCTAGTTAAGGTAGAGTCTCAGTGTTAATTTTGTCTCCTAACTGGTGTTAAGTGAAGGTATCTAGTTAAGGTAGAGTCTCAATGTAATTTATGAATCCAACTGTACGCCTGAAATGTTCTTACGAGCGAAATAGTGTAGATGCTATAGTCACCGCATCATTGGTGTATCAAACTACAGAAAACGGACCTTAAGTCAGGGTTAACCACAACAAGTTGAAGAGAGCCTCCAATCATCAGTTACCACCGACCATACTGAGCAGTGTACAGTCATGACTCAACATAATACTGTACAGTATGGACTCTTAACGAGGAGTGACATGACACACATTTTTTTACCACTAAAATAAATATGTAAAATGGAGGAGTTGTAATTCTTCCACACACACACACACACACACACACACACACACACACACACACATACACACTACTACTACTTTGCTGTCACTGGGAATCGAGTATGACGATCATCCAGTTATGGTAGAATGATATGAGTTATTAAGGATGTACACCTAGGTTGGTGAGTTCTGAGGTGACTAAAGAGGCCGATACGGGACCGGCAGGATCGTCCACAGACATTGCACATTTGAGGGGGCTACATCTAGCGCGGGAGGGGCGACAGGGGCGTCTTTCCGGCGTTGGCAATTGTCTGCCGGGGAATACAGTCGGGTTAACTTAAAAGTAATGACACCTCGTGTGGTGCTCCTCCAAGCGGTACGGTGTGGAGTAATCGTCTCCCAGGTGAGGGGGTCGATTTGGCACTTTTTCAGGTTTGTCTTAAGACTATCCTTATACCTCTTCAGTTGCCCGCCAGCGTTACGTTTACTATTCGTTAAGTAACTGTAAAGTAGCTGCTTTGGCAGTCTACTGTCGTCCATGTGGGTAACATGGCCAGTCCAGCATAGTTGTTCATGGATAATGGTAGCCTCGATGCTCCTACAGTTGGTGTCGGCAAGAATACGTGTAACTTTGTAGATAATTTCAGCTCCCTACAGCTGAAGACACATGTACGGAGTCTGCCAAAGGCTTGAGATACACATCTTATTCGATGGTGAATCTCTTCATCGATGTCCGCGGTGGTGGACAGGTGGGAGCCGAGATACCGAAAGTGGGTAACATTAGAGAGGGTAGTACCGTTAAGCTGGATGGATGGTGGAGGTGAGTCTGAACCAGGGGCAGGCTGAAAGAGAATCTGAGTCATAGGTACATTCACCTCAAGGCCGAAGTGTGCATACGCATCTGCATAGATGTTCAGTATCTCCTGTAGGTCACGTTCAGCGTGAGTGACCAGGGTGGAGTCGTCTGCATATTGAAATTCAGTAATGGAAGCCGCCGACACCTTTGTTCCTGCCTGGAGTCGTCTTATGTAGAAAAGTCCTTTCTTTCAGTACTCGATGTCCATCCCGCCGACTAAATTGGCACTGGCACGAGTAAGGAAGGTACAGTAGATAAGAAAATGGAAGAGAGAGTTGGTGCCAGTACACATCCTTGTTTAACCCTCGTTAGGATAGGTAAGAACTCAGACTAGGTGCCATTGCAGGACACTGCTGCTCATGTCATCATGGAGTTGACTCACAATGGCGATAATTTTTTGGGGGGGAAGCCAAAACGGCTGAGGGTCCGCCAGAGGGCTTCCCTGTTGACCGAGTCGAATGCCTTGGTTAGGTCGATGAAAGCCATGTACAGGTCACGACGCTGTTCTCTGCACTTTTCCTGTATTTGGCGGGCAGCAAAGATCATGTCA